CTCAGCTAATACAAGGGACAGGACCTCTCCTGATTTAAATCAAGGGGCAGAAGACAGTGGAAAACAGGCTGCCATGGGTTTCACCCCTACAATTTTCTCAAGATAGTAACCCATCCCTCCTGTCCTACCCTCTAGAAAAACAGCCTTCTCTTTGGATTAAATGTTTTTTGTTAACCTTTTAACTCATATGATAGCAGTCTGTACTAGAATAGTGATGGTTTAAGGCTCAAATCCTTCTATGACTCCTAAGGAGAAATTAGTTGTTAAAGTTGAACACAAAATTTAGTTTTACTTTTTTTATAAAAAAGCAAATACAAAAATAATAAACATTGTTTCAGAATCAAGTACTCAAAAATTAGGAAATGCAAGTGCAAGCTTATTTTCACCACTGCATGCGTATATATGCAGACACACAGTGATAAAGGTTTTAATTACACGATTATATATTTTTTTCCCACTACTCTCCTGCTTCATTCAGTGCACAGATGAATCCATAAGGGGAGCAGAATTAAGGCTGTACAGGCAACCATAAATCTATCATTTGCTAATCTCTGCATGCTTGAATTTTCTACCTAACATTTTTAATAGTTTGTGTGTAATACGGTTGATAGGAAGTTTGCCAGAATCCCTCAAGAAAAAGCTAATAAATCTTTGATAGGTTCTAGTCCTTGCTTGAGCTGCACATGGAAGAGTTTGCCTCTGGCATCAAAAGCCTTTCCAGTGAAAATGATAGTGTAGTTTAATCCAATATGGAACATTTGTTAATCGATTTAAAAGGTTTACTTTGGGATGATCTCTTAATTATGGTCAGTTGTTGTTGTGGAAACTCACCAGCTCTGCAGTTCAGCTGCAGACAAAATGTTCTGGCCCTGCCCTATATCGTCCCACAACTGTAGGCTTGCTGAATGCTCTGTAAGAGATAGGCTTACAAGGAAGGATCAGATGGTGTTATTATGAAACAGTTAATCATCTCTAAACTGTTCCTCATTAGGAAAGACATCCCTAATTTTAGATTCTAATTTACTTTATGTACACACCTGGTGTTCTCACTTTGATTACTGAGTTAGAAATACTTAAGAAATTGAAATCAGAAATCCTTCTGGAGGCTGAAGAAATTGGCACAATCAGAGCTCCCTCCACTATCATCTTTCACTTCAACTCTATTTTACATTATATTCCACATTGGGTCATTAGACTATCAAGCAGTGTGGGCTAAGTAATCACCACAAATAACTGCTAGTTCCTATGGCTACAAACAGTTTTCAAAAGATCCTGGGTTGTCCTTAAGGTTGACTCCAAGCAATTTAGAGGGTTTTAAACCGAATCTTGTCATATTTTTAATCCTCATTTAAAATGCATTACGTCTGCCTACTGTGGGGTTCTTATAACTTACTCTGAAGCATCTGGTACTGAACACTATGAGAGGCAGTGTACTGGAGTAGATGGATCTCAATTTGATGCAGTCTGGCAATTCCTATGTATCAGAAGACGCATTTTTCCTAGATAAATTGTGAGAGAACAAGATTTTTTTTCCTCAGACTTCCAAAACGTTAAAACCAATAGTGAGTAAATGTAAAATTAGGCTTATTTGGCTCTGTTATGTTGTTTCTCAGCCTGTGCTGGATAAGGGGAAATGAAAATTACAGCTAGGTAAAATTTTTAGGCAAATGGTTAATTTTGCCAAAAATCCATTTTTCAGGGCTCTGAAATGATTCATTGAATTTGGCCCAAGTTTGCAAATAGCTTCAGCTGGAAAAAAAAATAATAAAGAAACCTTTCAAGAGTCAAAACAGTTCATTTCAGCCATTTGGAAATGAACCATTTTGTTTGGCCATTTTGAAACTAAATGTTTCAGCTTTTCATTGAGAAACAGCATTTCGTTTTGAAATTTAGCTAATTTTAACAAAAACTATCCAAAAAACTACACCCCCCCCCCAAAAAAAAAGTGCATGTGGGAGGGGGCAGGAGGGAGGGCTTTTCCTACAGAAATAAAAGTGAAATCTGTTCTACCACCCTCCAGCTCCATATCAATTCTGCGTTCTCCACCTCTGCTTCTCCTGGAGCTCATCACCTCCTCTCCCAGGCCTACATGGGCTGCAACAGGATCCCCTTGTGACAGAATACACCCTGGTTTTCACACCCTACACACTGTTGTACTAATCTTTGTGAAAATATGCCTTTTGAGATATCATTTCAAAAACTAAATGTGCTGGTCAATAATATCATGGTGAGATGTATACAGCAACATTAGATGTAAAGTTATGAACGTGCTCTGAACTCATGACTGAAGTGCATTTATCAGACACGTCTGAGGAGTGGGTAAGCCTGGTTCTCAAACACAAAGGACAAACTGACACCTCTAGCCAGGTGTCATCAAAGCTGATGGGCCATCACCTGTCAAGTGGCCATTCTTTGGTAAAGAAGGGGAGTGGGAACAAACAGATCTACAGCTTATCAAACAACAGCATGAAACCTTTTCACAACAAGACACCTTGCTGCTGTCCTCACAGCGGGAAGGAACTTTATCAGGCAAATGCATTTCAAAGGGTTACTGAACTATAAAAGTGAGGGGCAAAAACACCCGTAGTTATCTCTCCCTGTCCATCTCTCTCTCCTTCATCCAAGATGACAAAAGAAACAGCCTTTGGACTTGGGGAGATCCTGGCCTGAGAATTTGATCAGCCATGTTACTGGGAATGTGTGGTAAGAGATTTCACCTTGAATCAAGTCTAGTTTGTTAAATTTTAGTACTAGGAAGAGTTTTATCTTTATTTCTTTTGTAACCATTTCAGACTTTAATGCCTTATACTTGTATTCACTCAAACCTCTGTCTGTGTAATTAAATAAACTTTTTTATTCTTTAATCAAAAGTAATCCAGTGTTGTATTTAAACTGAATTGTGTGGGTAACTCCAGTTAGGGTAGCAAACTGTTGTATACTGATCCCCTAAGAGGGGCAACAGACCTAATATATCTGGACTGGTGAGGAGGGGGCTGGACAGTGCAGAATACATGTTTTGGATGAAAATTCGGGACTGGGGATATGTTGGGATCACTCTGTAAGTAGTAATCAAAGCTGGTGAAAACCAGAGTGGGACTAACATGTGGCTGGCAGGCTACAGCTATACACAGACTCTCAGGATGTGACCTGCCTGCTGTTTGTGAGTGGCCTAGGTGGGAGCTACAGCTACAAAGCATTGTGAGGCACCACAGGTTGCCGGGCAAGGGTGACATAGCCCCTCACTGGTCTGGATTGCTCCCTGAAATGTCATACCCCTGTACCTCTTCCAGGCTGGGTTCAGCAGGGAGAGGAGGGGAGAGGAACAGTAGAGCCATCCTCTTGCTCACAGGAGGGAAGGAGGGAGCAGAGCCATCTTAAGGAGCTGCTTCCTCTTTCTGCTCCGTCTCTCCCTTCCTGTGAGAGCCACTTTGGCTCCTGAGAGGAGCCAGGCAGATCTTTTTCCTCCTTCCCACAGCAGTTCTGATTCCTTGCTCTTCCTTGGGAGGGCAGGCAGACAATGAAATCAGCAAGGTTTTTCCCTCAGGCAGGGCTGAAGTCTGCATCCCTCAGCTAACTGGCTCAAGCTGTAGCAATATTATTTGCTGGGCCTGTGACCCAGCACTCTTTAAGCACTGGTAGTAGAAGAACAAACAAAAGCCCTTCGTCTTTAGGTCACCTATTCAAATCCAGCCCAGGTTGGTAGTAACCAACAGTCATTACCATCCTACAGTTGTTCAATAGCCTGCATGAAATGCTCTGGTCTAGAGAATAAGTGTTTATCTCAGAAAAACAACATCACTTCATTGATAGTGACTGGCACACTGAGAGTCTCGGCATTGGCTAAAAGCTGAACAGGAAATCATATTACAATTTTGATTCACAAGTGGCCCTTCCAAGTTACAGTTAAAGTATATTGGAGAAGAGAGGTGGAGAAACTTGTGGTTTCCTGTGCTGTACTGTTTCTAACACTATTTAAAAGTCAAGAAAAGAGAGTGACTCATTCTCTGTGACTTTCAAGCTAGAGTCTTTCCCCAGAATTAAATCTTATTTTCAACAATGTTTTTCTCATTCAGTGTGCATGGCCTGTGCTGACCTAATATGTTCATTAGAAAACACCTAGCAAAGATTTCTGCAGGAGTGAAGTTAGTGAGCTAACTTAGTGAACTTTATTCAGATCATTTTCAAGAAAAATGGATGCTCTTTTGCTGTTTCGATTTTTAAACATACATGTAATGCAATACCTGCCTAGGATACTGGCATAAAGCTGCCTCTGATATATACAGTCATGAGCTTTCCCTGAAACCTTTATAGAATTAATACCCCACTCATTATTTCCTTGATTTTCAGGCCACTGTTATCATCTAGTCTGACCTCCTGCATAACACAGACCATGGTCGGGCCTTAACCTCTTGCATGTAGGTATTAGAAACTTGGGCTCATTTTCCTGATGCTCAAGGCCCGTGAATTATCTAGAAATAAGACATCTGACTATGTATTCCTCCCCCTGCCAATAATCCCACACGCTGCTGAAAGAACAACTACTGCCTATTCCAGTGGGTCCTATATGGGTACAGGTGGGTATTTTGGCTCAATTTATCTTTATACTCCCTACCCTCTCCCCTCTTTTAGGACCCGATCCTGCAATGTGCTGACTGCTCTGTGCTTCTACTGACATCTACTGTACTTATTACTTCCAGCTGCAGCAGATTGAGTCCCTCGTTCTCTCACATGTTCTTCCAAAGGATATGTAGTTGGCTGACCTATTCTTCAAGCCATCGAGAATTGAACACAGCTTCTTGTGGAGCTTAGTCTAATGATGTAGCATACTGTAATCTGGAAACCTGAACACTGCTGGCACTTAGGTGGGGTCGATACTAAAAAGTTAGGTTGATCCAGTTACGTCACTCAGGGGAGTGAAAAATCCACACTCCTGAGTGACATAGTTAAGATTGTTATGCTTATAAGAAGCACACAGAATTTTTAAAAAGGGGATAAGGCAATATGCCGCATTTATTGAGAGTACAGTTAAAGCATTAAAATTAGTATATGCTTCCATTTACACACACCTCCCCCACCAAAGGTTCTGCAGCTAGATTATATAGTTACCAGTCCTTCGTGTTGCTCAGTCAGTTCCAATGGTCGGCTGAAACTGCACACGAGGGAGGGGGCGCTGTGTTCTGACGAACACGTTCGAAGATCTGATGTTGATGCAGAACGAACCCAAAGTCCCATGGCAATACACTCTTTTTTTTATAGTAATAAGTTCCCATACAAGTCTTTGGACCTTGCTGTGTATGCCCTGTTCAAGGTTGCTTTAATTAGCATTATTTGGGTTGTTACTGGGAGTTATTCGCAGCTGTTTCTTATCTTGTCCCTCTGGCTTCACTCTTTATCTTGTTCTTGGGGTGTATGCCTTTGCTTTAGGGTTGTTAATTTGCCATCTGGGTAAAAGTTGGTGCCTCTCGACTCCTCCACTCCCTTCTTGACCATCTGGCCTAGCTGACTGTTCTTTCTTAGTTAATTACCATATATTCTTCGCTCACACCAAACAGTAAATAAGGCAATTACAGCCATACAATTTTTATCCTTCTAAAAACAGTTATTAACACAATTAGTAAAGAATAAACTCAGAACAATTTGGGCTTGTGGTTTTAATTTGAGGCTACAATTTTTTTTTACTAATTTAAGGCTAGCAAAATAAAGTATAAGGCAAAATAAGCAAAATAAAGTACAATTTTACTTGAAACAATTTCTTCCCATTAGGCTTTTGGCCAACAAGATGACCTAATCCCTGGCGTAGACAGCGTTAGGTTGATGGGATAATTCTTCTGCCAACGTAGCTACTGCCTCTCCTGGAGGTGGATTAACTACAGTGATAGGAAAATCCTTCCTTTTGCTATAGTGAGTGTGTACACTGATGTGCTACCTCAGTGCTGTAGCAATCTGATGATAGAATGTGGAGCAGGCTGCTGGAGCTCTGCTAATATAAAAGCATTAATCCCTATATTTCTTTAAAGTAAGATTTTCCCTACAATACGGAACAGTTTTTTTCTCCCCTTCGGCAACCACTTACTTTCTCAAACAAATCAATGTTTTGGCCGTCTACACTAATCAACCTGGAAGTCTACGGATTAATTTAAACACCTATTTGCATCATAACACTACAAATACCCTCTGATTCCAACATGTGGAATCACCAGCACTTTAAATTTACAATGAGCCGAGAGTGATACTTCACAATTCTATGGCATGTTACCTGAAGATCTCAAGGCCCTTTACAAACATTAAAGAAACAATTTTTGTCGTGCTTCTGTATCTTCATTTTACAGATGTGGAATGCACACAGCAAGGTTATATGACTTGCCAGAGGTCACAGAACAATCCATTCTCCGTTCTTAGTTCTGCCAGTCAATAGTCCTGAGTTCTCTTTCTGGCAGGTAACCATTAGACATACCACTTCCCCAAGCAGTGACCTTCAGAACAAAACTATACAATAAGCAGATCCCTGGTTTAATTCTTTAAAGCCAACTCTTGTTAGAAAAAAGAAATATAGACACCACAGAGCCATTTGTTTGCTGTGTCAAATGCATGCAACAAATATTAAATATAAAAAAATTAAACTGTTCCTAAAAGTATCTGTGTAAAACTTGCAGTCCCAAAGTAAATCTTCAACACTACCATTTATAGATATGAAAACAGTCCAGGTCATTTATTTACACTGTATAGTATATTCTCTATTTTCAGTTGCTGCTACTTTCAATGCTTTTTTGTCAGCAGCCTTGGATTGTATCAGTGCTACAGGATGATATTATTCCTTCAAGACAGTAAAGATTCTGATTGAATACACCATTCAGTTAGCTGAAAATGAGACAAAACTAATGTCTTTTGCACAAAGTATGAAAACACAACAAAACATGGTTTTAACATTCTGTGGAGTCTATAGAGTTTGTATCATAGTAGATTTCAGCTCTGCCATTACCATTTGATCTACCCATATGCAATTAACATATTTACCTTACTATTTTCTAACAGGCTGCAGACCGGGGCAGCTAGAACTTCAGTTAGCAAAAAGGAAAATAACAAATTAAAAATAAAAATAAGTTATTCTAATAATGAATAAAATAAATATAACTTGGATTGTGTCCCAAAGAGTACAAGTCTGTTACTTGGATGCGCTGCCCAGGAGAGTGAATTTCAGAGGCACAAGTCCACTGATGAGAATGCCCAGTCAGCAGATGTGGCATGTGCAAGGACAAGTTCTGAAAGCAAGCTTTTTACATTTGATCTGCTGAGATGGGGGCCAGGATAAGAGGTGGCCTCTGACAAAAACCAGGTCCCAGATGATTTAAGGTAAGACATCAACATAATCTCCATCTTCAATTTCTGTAAAGAAAGCAGCATAACAGTATGTCGTCATTTGTACATTCCAATGATCTTCTAGGGGGAGGAAAGAGGAGCTTGTTGTAAAATAACACATTTTATTTTGGTTTTTGAGATGGAATCATTCAATGTTCTGGACACCAATTATATATGACTCCAGTTAGGACTAGGGTCTTGCAGATTTGGCCCCCAAGACCACTCCTTTGCCATTGATCTGAGTGAAATTGCCTGAAACTCAAGCTGAAGAGATCCTGCATTGTTCTCCTCCAGAACCTGACAGCTCAGTTCTTGAACTATCATGTCCATGAAGTACAGTTAGGAATGCCTCATAGCAAGAAATAATCAACTGCTTCTGAGTGGAAACAGTTTACAAGACAGGTCAGTGGATCTGATGGCCAATGCTACAACATATCCTTCCACTACGTACAATAGTTCCAAATAGAGAGACAATTGTAAACTGTAGGGCAAGAGAACCTAAGACTCCTTTTCTCTGAGAATAATAAATGTAATGCTAACTAACTTCTGTATTTAGCTGGGGACAAGGATGAGATTTGAGGTCTTAAGACCCTCATCTCCCTCTCCATTAGCTTAGATGTCCTTTCAAGCTGCTATCTGCACTGAACATTTCGTGTATTACTATCACACATTCAAATTTTGCAAGAGAAAGGAAGTTTAGTAGAGGCCCAGCTACTTGTAGAGCTTAGGCAGATAGCTGGCAAAAGGATATTGCGGTTTTCTTTAAGAGGCACCAGTGGCCTCTCAAGGTATCCAGTGGCAAACAAACATTATTCTTTAACCTCGACTCATCTGTGCAACTCAGTAGCATTACACGGGAGCCAAGGCTGCTGCAAAGTGGAGCTTTATGTAGAAAGGAACAAAAATGGTATAAAAATAAATACAAACTACGTTTCCAATCCCAAAGTGTTGTGACAAATCCCTACACGTATTTGCCGGGCCACAAGCCAAGTTCAGGGTTCAGTCTTTCTCCTGCAAGAGCCGATGCAGCTTCAGCATCAGATACTACAGCATGTTTTAGATTAGCCTTTTTCTTAAAATCTCCCACCATTACTCTCCTGCCAGTAGAGCTCCCCGCGTGCTAGCAAGGATGAGAACTCTAGTTTAGACCAGCACTGTAGCCACCATGCCAGGAGCCCTGCTCAATGCCTTTCACCTCAGCTCAGAGCAGGTCTAGATGGCAACTGATCTACCCTAGTGGTCCCACCATGGCTACCAGCTATCGGCAATTGTGGGGAGGCTTAAGAAAACCTGCTAGTATAAACAAGGCTGCAACTTTACTACCCTTTATTGTTGGCTATGGTGTAGATGCACTGGCACCAGCAACATGGTGAACACTAGTAGGCATAGGGCTCAAGGGATTCCTGGAGCAAGTCTTCTTGATGCTGTGCTGAAGATGTCTAAGTTTTTTAAACCATTGTTCGAATCAGGGTAGCTGCACCATTGCTGAAAAACAGGTGCACGGTGCCAATGTAGACAAGGCTCTAAAGCAGTGCAAGAGCGTCATTCCTTACACCGCTTTAGATGCCAGGGATAGGGCTTAGCTCTTACTGGGGGACTCAGGTAAAAATATATTTCAGTTAACTATTAGCATGTACTTGTCATTTTAAGTCTACCCAGGTGTTGCACTAATGATCTGGAACCTTAAAAACTGGGCCATTTAAACATAAAATGTCAGTTCACCTTTAATTAGGAGCTATTTCAAAGATTGCCATTCAGGGCTCCAGGCTACCTACAAGAGGTGTAACTCACGCAGAGGATTGGAAACTTGAGTCTACACTCGTATAGCCACTGTTCCTAAGTGAGGACTCTTGCGTCATGCATACATGATTCCTACACTTTTGCTGGTATAAGCACTTACTCTTATGGGTAAGCAGTTCTAATGGAGAAACGGTTTCTAATGACAGCTCACACTGCCTGATTAACTCAGCAATTAAGCATTATTCAGCAGTTCTTAAAGTCTTTTGCTCTGTGTCAACAGCACTGTCCGGGTTAACAGTTACCACTCTTACTAAATTCATCCGAACAAAACCAAGGGCATGTTACAGTAAAGACACATGACTACAATCAAAGTATACTATATCTGAAAGCCTCACAATTTTTAATGTATTTATCCTAAACACCTTGGTGAAGTATTAGGCACATTTTATAATTGGGGAATTGAGACAGAAACAAAGTGAGTTGCCCAGCTTCACAGAAGATGACTATGGCAAAGCAAGGATTGACCTTGAGACTTACAAATTCCAGGACAGCGCCCTAACCACTGGACAATACTTCCTCCCCCAATTTTTATTTTTAGGACAGTTTGGATTTAAGACTACTTATGATGTTAGAACACAAGGCAAAACAAAAAAACTATGAGTTTGAAGTTAGTTTATATTTTCTCCCCTAGGCCCTCAAAGATAATTTAGTTTGTGCCATTTTTGGTATGAAGGTAATTTAGGACTCGATCTCTCACTGAAATCAGTGGACTCAGCACCTTATAGGAACTATATTGTAAATAACCATACTAAAGTAATGCATACTGGCAATGTTTATATTTTTTAAATCTTAAAACATTACGGGTCAAATCCCAACTCCATCAAAGTCATTAAGTATGTCTTTGTCCCCATTTTCGTTAGGGGGCTATTTAGCTAATGTCACTGGTAGGTTTTTGATCACTTAGGCAGAATATGTAATTTTTGCTTTTCATCTTGAAATAAAAAGAAAGTTTAAAATCAAGTATAGGGGACTCAGTGATTCAGGGATGCGAAATATTTTGCCTCTAACTCATGGGTTCAGATCCAGCCTGTGTTGGTAGTACTTAAGATTATAACCATCCGGAGGGTGCATCGGAGGCAAGAATTCTGAGTATCACTCCTGACTCTCACCGTGACATGCTAGGAGAGTTTAGATGAATTCTCAAACCTTTCTGTGTCTCAGTTTTACCCATCGGCAGTAGGCCGAATTGATTTTCACATGCCTGTTCATTGTGATGCGGACACCTATTCTGAGAGTAGCCATTATCTTGTTACTAATGGGTACCTTGATTGGCAGGCTAAGAAAGGCTGACAGAGCTCCCTTCTCTCTCTTAAATGTGATTTAAAGCGTTATTGAAACACAGTGGTAAGGACTGAGTAGGAAATGTATAGAACTGCTGTCTGGGCTCTCTGTGCACTGAAGAGAAACAGAAGGGATTCATTCTCAGAACGGTCAATCCAGCACTAGGCTAAAAAGACAGAAATAAACCTCTTACCATCATAAACTTCATCCATCTCTACCTTGGCTTTCCTTGGGGACTTCAGTCTCCTTACTGGGTAGCGAAGGTTGATGATGAGTCCTTGATTTGGCTTTTCATATGCGTATATCAAATCATTTATTGTTTTGAAGACCCGTTGTGGAGCATCTTCAGAAGTCTGAAAGAAAGTGAAAAAAGCGTTGCCACTGCATGTATGTTTCATCCATAGGGTGACCATATTTCCCAAAGGGAAAACGGGACACCACCTAGCGTGGGGCTGGCCCAAGCCACTTGCCTGAGCTCCCCGACTCCCTGCACAGGGCTGGCGTCACTGCTTGCCCAAGCACTGCCTGCCCCCCTGCCCGAGTCCTGCCTACCCCCTGCATGGGGCTGGCATTGTCACTCACCTCCACGCATATTCCTCCACACCCCGCTTTTTTCACAAAAGTGGGCATTTGTCCCATTTGCTCTTGACAACTTGATCAGTCAAGAAATATCGTTAAAAAAAAAAAAAAGAAAAGAAAAGAGAGAGAGAGAGAGAGAAAGAAATCACACTCTTAGCTGACATTTTTATGCCAGGGAAACTTTCTAGGGTACACCTTGCCTGAATCTCTCAAATAGTTAATCTGACCCACCCTGTTCTAAATGTTTTTGTTGCTTCCCCAGAACAGCAGTTCTCCTGCAGGCATAATTAAACCACCCGCAACAAGCGGCGTTAGCTATGTTGACAGAAGAGCCTCTCCTGCCAGCGTAGCACTGTCCACACCAGCACTTTTGCCGGTGAAACTTAAGTTGGTCCGGGGAGTGGTTTTTTCACACCTCTGACTGACAAAAGTTTTATAGACAAAAGTGGTAGTGTAGACAAAGCCTTAGTGAATCAAAGTTCACGTTCCAAACACCATCCCTCACATTCAACTGGGTGTATAGCAGTCTCCTCTGCCCAGCCTTGTAAACAGCACTGAGACACTCCGGAGGTGTCATGCCTGTGATTGAGGGCCCAGGCTGCTGTGATCGAGGTGAGAAGGCTTTTGAGAGTTGTGGTGGGAAAGATAAGGCTTGGAAGTTATCCCTCTATAAAAAAGGATATGCTGTAATGCCAATTCTGAGTGTTCCAAAATCAGGAGATTGGCTTAAAAGGAGTACTTTTGAGTTCTTTTTGTCTTCTGACATCATAGTCTTTAGGTTGAACAGTTTGTCTGCAAGCTTTGCTCTGCAACCATAAAGGACGGAAACTTTTTCTCAATGAATAAACACAGGCCATCAAAATTCCACTCAAATACCCACCACCAATACCTGATGCCCCTGGAATGCCAGGGAATTAGTTTGGTGAGATATCCCCAGATGATCCTAGCAAGCAGTCTATACCCTGTGCTATAGAGGAAGGCAACAAAATAAAATAAAATAAATAAAGCAGAATGCCCTTGCTTAGAAATCCAGCCCAAATCAGTAATGCTCAAAAGCACCTCTCGGAGCATTACAGTCGCACAAAAATATTATATACAGATCTTTTTAAAAGGAAAGGACTAATTCCAAAATTCAAAACCCCTGAACATTCAGAAGCACAAGGTGTTTGTACACAGGACCCAGCAATGTCTTTGGTGAAATGGAAGCGGATTCCATCAGAAAAAGGACGAAAAAAAATATGTGAGTAGATACTCAAGAGATAGATTTTATGTTGTCAAAAAGACATGATCAAATCAGTAGCTATGGGCAAGCCATGCAATAAATTATGGATACAAAGAAATTACTGTGGAGATAGCAGTAGTGTGTTACTTCCAAGCTAATGGGTAATGAGAGAAAGTGTTGTTAAGGGTTGTGTGAGGTAGAATGCAGGTATGAAAATACCTTGTGAAGGTGAGATTTTATGTATATGATTTTTTAATCAGAAAATGACATTAAACAATATTTTCTCTTGCAGATGAAATGAAATTTTTTACCTGAATCCTAAAGTAACCTTCATGTTCCCTGAAGATTCGATAAGTGTAGATGAGCTGTTCAAAGCTGTGAAGAGATACCCTTTCATAAACTGTTTTTTAATCAACATTCAAGGAACAACAATGGCTAGACACCACTACATCTAAACCTTTTGGTGGAAGTATTTTTTTTTAAATGTAAACCAAGCTAAAACAATAAATGACTAAAACCCCAGGGAGCCAATCTCAGGAAATGTCTGTCATTACATTTTTTGCTAACAACAATTACATACCATTTACATCTCTTCTAAAGTACAAAGTATGTCACTTGCACAAACAGCTATTTTAGAAAATGCTTAGCCACTTAATTAGTGAAGTTAGATACCCCAAAGCTAACTCTGCAGCCTAAATCTAAAAAAAAAAAAAAAAAAAATTTTAGGAGTACCTAAAAACAGAAATAGTGTCCATTTACCTTTTTAAAGTGTATTGTGTGCATTTATAAACACTTGTCTTCAAGCGCTACCATTGAAAGAAGGATACTGGAGAGTTTTGGGCACACATTCACTTTTACATTTGATTTATATTAGGGCTGTCAATTAATCGCAGTTAACTCAAGCAATTAAATCAAAACAAATTAACTTGATTAAAAAATTAATTACAATTAAACACAATTTTAATCGCACTGTTAAATAATAATAGAATACCAATTTAAATTTATTATATTTTTTTTGATATTTTCTACATTTTCAAATATATTTATTTCAATTACAATACAGAATACAAAGTATACAATGCTCACTTTATATTATTTTTGATTACAGATATTTGCACTGTAAAAAGATAAAAGAAACAGTATTTTTCAATTCACCTCATGCAAGTACCGTAGTGCAATCTTTATCATGACAGTGAAACTTACAAATGTAGAATTTTTTAATTTTTTTACATAACTGCACTCAAAAATAAAACAATGTAAAACTTTAGAGCCTACAAGTCTACTGAGTCCTAAATGTTGTTCAACCAATCGCTAAGACAAACAAGTTTGTTTACATTACAGGATATAATGCTGCCCACTTCTTATTTACGTCCCCTGAAAGTGAGAACAGGCGTTCACATGGCACTTTTGTAGCTGGTGTTGCAGAATATATACGTGCCAGATATTCTAAACATTCATATGCCCCTTCATGCTTCAACCACCATTCCAGAGGACATGCATCCATGCTGATGACAGGTTCTGCTCAATAACGATCCAAAGCAGTGCGGACTGATGCACGTTTTGTTTTTTTTTTCCACCTGAGTCAGATGCCACCAACAGAAGGTTGATTTTCTTTTTTTGGTGGTTCGGGTTCTGTAGTTTCTGCAATGGAGTGTTGCTCTTTTAAGACTTCTGAAAGCATGCTCCACACCTCAATCCCTCTCAGATTTTGGAAGGCACTTCAGATTCTTAAACCTGGGGTCTAGTGCTGTAGCTATCCTTAGAAATCTCACACTGGTACCTTCTTTGAGTTTTGTCAAATCTGCAACGAAAGTGTTCTTAAATCGAACAACATATGCTGGGCCATCATCTGAGACTGCTATAACATGAAATGCATGGCATAATGCAGGTGAAACCATGGAGCAGGAGTCATACAATTCTCCTCTCAAGGAGTTCAGTCACAAATTTAATTAACACTTTTTTAAATGAGCATCATCAGCATGGAAGCATGAAGGAGCATACAAATATTTAGCATATCTGGCACATAAATACCTTGTAATGCTGGCTACAAAAGTGCCATGTGAACATCTGTTTTGACTTTCAGGTGACATTGTAAATAAGATGTGGACATCATTATCTCCTGTAAATACAAACAAACTTGTTTGTCTTAGCGATTGGCTGAATAAGAAGTAGGACTGAGTGGATTTGTCGGCTATAAAGTTTTACTTTGTTTTATTTTTGAGTGTAGTTCTGTAAAAAAATAAAAGATTCTACATCTGTGAGTTGTACTTTCATGATAAAGAGATTGCACTACAGTAATTGTAGGAGGTGAATTGAAAAATACTATTTCTTTTGTCTTTTTAACAGTACAGATATTTGAAATAAAAATAATAATATAAAGTGAGCACTGTACACTTTGTAATTGAAATTAATATATTTGAAAATGTAGAAAACATCCAAAAATATTTAAATAAATGGTATTCTATTATTGTTTAACAGTGCAATTACACCGGTGATTAATTGCGATTTATTTTTAATCTCGTGATGAATTGCTTTATTTGTTTAACAATCCTAATTTATCAATCTAGAGTTTTCAGACCCTGGAAGCAGACATCTGTTTGTCTGATGTTGTTGCTTCAAGTCATGTTTTAAAAACAAAGGCTGGTTAAATGTGATTATGTAAAAATAGCACTTTCTTCGCATGCAAGTTCTGTTCAGTTAGTTTTAGGATCCAAATTTGCTTATCTTAGTGCAAAGTAATCTTCTTCTTGTTCCTCTGCAGAAGCAGCACAGCTAAGAGCCGGTCTGTAGTGCAGTCACTTGGTGCGACTGCGGATGGAGCAGACATACCGAAGCTAGCTTTAATTTAGCTAGCTCAGGTCCTGGAACAATGAAGCTGTGGCAGCACGAGCTTTAACATGGGCTGTCCAAACCTATCCAGAACCCTAAAGCTTGTGCTGCCCATGGGGATTCCACGTGTGGTAATGAGCCAGCCACTTTAACCTGGGGTATATCTGATTGGGCTGGATTGCAGCTAGAGATGTATATGGGACTTGGTCTTTAACATATTACTATGCCAACTGTATGCAAAGCATGCTGTGTGCCACCCTTCCAACCTTTTCAATTTCAGGGACTCCTAACTACTGCCACCTCCCTCATGCAAGACATGTTTACCCCCCACCCCTTCCATGCCCAAAGTCTTCACTCCCTCCTATGCCAGAGGCAATGTGTGCCCCTTTCCTCTGCAGAAATATTTTGTACGCTAACTAGGGCTATGCAACTTATTTAAGTTTCTGGCCTGTGAGATCACTTTCACATTTGCTACTTATTCACCTTTAAGGATGTAATAACTTCCACTTGTGATTGTCTTAAAATTAATGCAATTTTAAAGTACAATACTTACAAAACACAAAGACACAAGGCTCCTGTCATGCTCTCGCTCTCTCGTAATAAAAAGCTGCCATCCTTGCCTTTCTTGCTTAGTAATTCTTCACAGGTTTTTTTTGTTATGTTTCCATGATAAAATGGGAACTCCATGGAAGAACAGCAACCAGACCCCTTGTCTTTATAACTGATTCCAGGTGAATTCAGCAGTCTGGCATGAAAATGAAGTTGTCTAGAGGATGTTGAAACTGAAACTGTGGTGCTAGGAGAAGTTTTTCTTGAAGCATTGAGTATGTCAGTGGGTTCATCTGTGTGGTTGTTACTGACCATTCTGGAAAGCTTTTCTAGCCAACAGAGAGCAAATGAATATGATTAACACAGGAAGTGCGAAATGGCCAATAGTTTACCTGAAATAGGCCCCATCCCCCAATGCTTCCTTATAAGACCTTGTTTTCCAATGCTCATAGCAAAGTTTAATCTATTGGGCTGATATTTTCCCTGTCAAGTGTGCACCTCAGGCTTGGGGGAGGGCGGGGAGGAGGAAGTATCAGCAAACAGTGCTCAACTATTTGAGAACAAAATTAGAGAAAAACATGTTTTACCCATGTTAAAAATTGTACACAACCATTTTGTGGAGCAGCTGGAGTGCGGCCAAGATTTAGAACATGGAATGTGAAATTTGGCTGGGCGGTGGGTTGCTCTGCTGTCAAGGATGTCCCTTCTGCTGTCCCCAAGAAAATCTACTCAAATTTGGCCAAATTATAACTCTTTGAAAAATGTTACAATTCACGCATGCTCAGCAAAGACTATTTAGAGTTTGACAGCTAAATTTGCCCAAGATTCAGTCTGTACTGAGCATGTGCCAGCCCAGGGATGCAGAGACAGAGCAGAACTTTCATTGGAATTGCTACTCCCAGCCACGGAAGCAGCAGAACTGAGAGCAGTGAGCTTGTCTTTCCTGTGCTCTCAGTGGTCTCCCTTTTACTGCCCAGGTAGCATGGAGAAGGAGGAAGCATTCTGAGTTGAATGCAGAGGGGACAAGAGGCAGACTTGGGGGTGTGGCAAAGGAGGGATTAGATTGGGATGAAGAAGGGAAACCCAGAGGAGGAATCTAGGACTACTAAAGCAAAGAGACTAAGGCTTGGTCTACACTACGAGGTTAGGTCGATTTTAGCCACGTTATGTCAATTTTATAATGAATGCGTCTACACAACCAACCCCATTCTGCCGACCTAAAGGGCTCTTAAAATGGACTGCTGTACTCCTCCCTGATGAGGGGAGTAGTGCTAAAATCGACCTTCCTGGGTCTAATTTGGGGTAGTGTAGACGCAGCACTGTGCAATTCGATGGTATTGGCCTCCGGGAGCTATCTCAGAGTGCTCCAATGTGACCGCTCTGGACAGCACTTGCAACTCCGATGCACTAGCCGGTACACAGAAAAAGCACCGGGAACTTTTGAATTTCATTTCCTGTTTGGTCAGAGTGGTGAGCTCAGCAGCACAGGTGATCACGCAGTCCCAGAATCGCAAACGAGCTCCAGCATGAAGCGAACGGGAGACACTGGATCTGATTGCTGTATGGGGAGAAGAATCTGTACAGGCAGAACTCTGATCCAGCAGAAGAAATGCTAATATATATGCCAAAATTGCACAGGGCATGGTGGAGAGAGGCTACACCAGGGATGCACAGCAGTGCCGTGTGAAAATTAAGGAGCTCAGGCAAGCCTACCAAAAGACAAAGGAGACAAACGGTCACTCCGGGTCAGAGCCCCATACATGCTGATTCTGTATCAGCTGTATGCCTTTCTAGGAGGGGGGACCCTAAGAGTACCCCAACACTCTCTGGACACCTGCAACGTGGCAGCCTCACGCAACACGGATGACGATTTTGTGGATGATGATGAGGAGAATGCACAGCAGGCAAGTGGAGAATCCATTCTCCGCAGCAGCCAGGACCTTTTCCTCACCCTGACGCCAATACCCTCCCAGAGCCTATTGTTACCAGACACTGACGGCGGAGAAGGCACCTCTGGTGAGTGCACATTTGTAACGACACTATGGGGTTAAAAGTAATTGTGTTTAATGTTTGATTTGCCCTGAGCAATTGGGATGCATTTGCAGCCAGTACAGCTACTGGAAAAGTCTGTTAACGTGTCTGGGGATGGAGCGGGAATCCTCCAGGGACGTCTCCATGAAGCTCTCCTGAAGGTACTCTGAAAGCCTTTGCAGAAGGTTTCTGGGGAGGGCTGCTTTATTTCATCCTCCACGGTAGGACACTTTACCACGCCAAGCCAGTAGCAAGTGGTCTGGAATCATTGCAGCACAAAGCCTGGCAGCGAATGGTCCTGGGTTTTGGTTGCATTCATGCAACATTCGGTCTTTATCTTTGTGTGTCAGCCTCAGGAGAGTGATATCATTCATGGTCACCTGGTTGAAATTGGGGAAGTTTTGTAAGGGAACAGTAATCCCCTCTGTTTGCTGATCCCCAACACATTAGACACATTGTGCTTGGCTAAAAGGGATCATCCTGGAGAATAGCCATGCGGGGGGTGGGGTGGGGGGGCAGGAGCGGTGTGCTGCATATTCACCCCAAAACCGCAGCCCCTCCTTTTAAACGGCAAACACAATCGGCATTGGGAAAGCAGGATGCAGCAGTTTGAAACCATTCCCATACGTTATGAAGGCGGAAGAAGCCAACCCCACGTACCCTTTGGCTTACCATGGCTGCCTGTAAACCGAATTCTGTTGCCCAGCTATGTGTGATGTGTCACCATACTGGCAGGCGCTCAATATAAAAGGCAAAAAGTGACCTTGTACCTAAAACACATGTGCTGTCTGCTGTGAATTGCTTGATTCACTGTGAAAGAGTCTCCCTTTTGTTCTCAGAAATGTATCTTCTTAAAAGTCTACTCTCCCCTTTTCCCCCCTGCAGCTGCAAATGCTTCTATGCTCCCCGCATCAACTCTGTCCCTGAGGTTATCGCAGATTAGAAGGTGACAAAAATGCACTTGCGATGACATGTTTTCAGAGCTCATGCAATCCTCCCGCACTGATAGGGCACAGCTGAATGCATGGAGGCTTTCGGTGGCAGAGGCCAGGAAAGCATTAGGTGAGCATGATCGCAACACGCAGGAGGAGATGCTGAGGCTAATGGGGGAGCAAACGGACATGATGAGGCATCTGGTGGAGCTGCAGGAAAGGCAACTAGAGCACAGACCCCTGCTGCATCCATTGTGTAATCGCCTGCCCTCCTCCCCAAGTTCCATATCCTCTTCACCCAGACGCCGAAGAACACAAGTGGGGGTGGGAGGCTCTGGGCATCCTGCCACTCCACTCCGGAGGATGGCCCAAGCACAGAAGACTGTCATTCAAACAGCTTTGATTTGTTGTGTGGCTACAATAAGCAATGTGGCCTTGTCCTTTCCTCCTCCCCCCACCCCATTATCAAACCCTTTGTATACCCCGGCTTCCTTTTACTAGTCAGCATTGTCAATGATCTCAAGTATTTTTTAATAAATAAAGAATGAATGGATTCAGAACAACAGGGACTTTATTTCCTGTGCCAGCTGCGGTTGAAGAGGGGGAGGGGGATTGGCTTACAGGGAAGTACATTCACCAAAGAGCGCGGCTTTGCATCAAGGACAAACACACACAACTGTCACACCATAGCCTGGTCAGTCATGAAACTTTTTCAAAGCCTCTCTGATGCGCAGCATGCCTGGGTGTGCTCTTCTAATCGCCCTGGTGTCTGGCTGTTCAAAATTAGCCTCCAGCCGATCTTCCTCAACCTTCCACCCCGCCATAAATGTCTCCCCCTTACTCTCACAGATATTATGGAGCACACAGCAAGCAGCAACAATAATGAGAATATTGCTTTAGCTGAGGTCTAACCTACTCAGCAAACTGTGCCAGCACGCTTTTAAACGTCCAAAAGCACATTCTGCCACCATTCTGCACTTGCTCAACCTATAGTTGAACTTCTCCTTACTGCTGTCCAGGCTGCCTATGTACAGCTTCATGAGCCATGGGAGCAAAGGGTAGACTGGGTCCCCAAGGATAACTATTGGCATTTCAACATCCCCAATGGTAATTTTCTGGTCTGTGAAGAAAGTTCCTTCTTGCAGCTTTCTGAAAAGCCCAGAGTTCCGAAAGATGTGTGTTCATAACATGTGGGAATAGTTTCAAACTGCAACACCCTCCTTTCCCATAGCAACCAATGGCGGTTGTGTTTGCCATTTAAAAGGAGGGGCTGTGGTTTTGGGGTGCATGTACAGCACACCCCTCCCCTGCTCCCCGCGTGGCTATTCTCCAGGATGATCCCTTTTAGCCAAGCGCAAACAGCCAAGTTCCATATTCCCTTCTAAGAATGATTAAGAGCCAAGAAAGCCATAGGGTCTTTGATATCATGAGGAACAAAGCAGCATAGTGCACAGGTCAATACCATACCTCCCCACCGTCCTGGGTTTCACAGGATTATCCTGCTCTGACCCGCTCCTGCCCCTGCCCCCACAAACTCCATCCCCATTGAAGAACAACATTTCCCACATTCAGTGCTGTACACAGCCATACGCATGGCAAGCATGGTACATAGCATTGACAGGGTGAGAGCTAGGGAGGAGAGCACCTTTGGCTGCTCTTGGGCATGCTCTGCCCTCTTGGGAATGCTCAGTGGCTGCAGGAGAGCTTAGGGATGGAGAGTGACACTGCACCTGGGTGGGCCAGGCTGGAAGGTGGGGGCTGAGCATGGCACAGACTCGGCAGGTGAGGTACTAAGGCTAGCAGCTGCAGTGGGGATAGCTCCACAGGGATTAATGGTGACTAAGTGTATCCCACTTTAGCCATTTAAAATGCTGTGAAGTCTGAAAAATATGGGATTAAACTACATTGCTGCCAGGCATTGAAGACAAAGTAGGTGTAACCATTCTGCCAGGTGGACTTGGCAGCAACAAGGGTCAGATTCAATATCAAGGGGTTCCTTTGCTAACCATGAACAGCCAACCGTGAGTGGGGTACAGTGGAGGGAGAGAGGAGAGATGTGTGATTCATTCGTTGGAGTTTCCCACTGTATGGTGGGAAACTAAGCCAAAGGACACTGCTCAACTGTGGGGTCATATTTGCTTATAGTCACATGCTTTTGAATGTGGTTGTGATGTTTTCCCAAACTAATGCTTGTAGGATTGTCAGTTTTGGTTGGACGTATTCCTGGAGGTTTCATCACATGACAATTTTTAATTAAAGACTAATCTTTACTTCCTGGAGACTCCAGAATAATCCTGGCCGGTTGGCAACTCTAAATG